AATTGACTGGCAAGGGGGGGGGTCATAAGTAAGTAAAATATTACAGAGCCTTATGGGGGATCAGGCAATGAATCCAGTCTCAAATTGATCAGATTGTGATGGTTCAAACATATTACCCTAAGGCCTCTGCACACAAATTCTGATGAGTTTGAAGTCCAGGTTGTGTAACCTAGGTTGCCAGTCTCCACAATGTCTGGTTTGCTTCAAGACCCTGTTTGTGTTTCTTCGATTAGTAAGAATAGTCCTGAGGGGAAAACAGATAAACTGATTTCAGTTGGTTAATTTTAACTTTAATTAAACAATGAAAATACAAATCAGTGTTAGAACATTCAACTCAGTTGTCTTCATTAGACACTATTTTTTAAGTGCTAGTACAAAATCTATTTGAGTGCACTGGCCAACAAGCACGTCTTTCAAATTCACCATCAGGTGACCTTAAAAATCATGCAGTAGGTGGCAGAAAAAAAATTTGGGGAATTCTTGAAAAAAAGAATCTTGAATAATAGAATGAAAGGACAATTAGCCCTGGCCACATTACTTTAATTAGCCCAATATGACTTCAATGGATGGCATGGCAACCCAGCCATGGCTTTAAACTAGACCACTCAAATCAGGGTCCATTTCCCATGGTTGACCACATGAAGATGGCTCCCTACCAAGAGTTTAAGAATTTCTAAGCTAAAGGTGTGAGTTGCGACAGTGAAAGGTAATGCAAAATGCATCATGATATATCTTGCAGACCTCAATGGGCCAGCAGGGTTGGTTAATAAGGGTGACTTTACATCCTGTGAATATGTTCTTGAAGTCAGTGCCTTCAGAGCCACATTCAATTTCTGTTTCACAGTATTCCCAACTTTCCTTACAAGTGAAACAACAGTTCTCAGCTTTTTAGGGTCCCTTTCTGCATCATTAAGTTCCTGATCATTAGAATCTCGTTTTCATTTTAAAAAGTTCATCCTACTAATCATAGACATAAAGACATATGTTAGTTTTGCTTCATGTAAAATCTATGGCCACATTCTTGAGGATAATTTTTCTCTCGAATATTTCTAAAGTAGAGAGACTTGGGCTATCAAGGACTCTAAGTCTCCTTTTCATTAAAAAAATAGCTGGGAGGCAAAAAGGGGAATTAGAGAAGGTGTCCGTAATTAGAACTGTAGGCTTACGAGAGTGTCCATTGGCGGAGAATTAACTGTATAAGCGATCAGTTCATCTAAGGCTCTTTATTTCTCATGCCTAAATTTGGCTTAAAAATAATTTTTGTATGCAAAAAAGCCAGTATAAATAAACTTGCTAGCTGAAATTGGGCTTGACTTTCCCTTGTGACAACCCCTCCGGCTGCCTCCGTCTAACTAACAAGGAGAACGAAAGAAAATTTTGATTCATCGATCCCGTGATTGGTGTGTCACAAATAGTAACTACACACACATCTACGAATGAATCAAAAAATCTCCAGATTTTAGGGGGTATTGTGAGAAAATATTAGAAAACTAACCTGTAACCTGTTTGTATTTACTCACTTCGACATTTAAAAATCCCACTCGATGGCGGAAAGCAGTGTCGGTGATCACATGGCCTATAATCATGAGATCGAATTTTAATATCCCCCTCAATGAGGGGCTCTGAGGATGAGAATTCTTAAAACCTTGCCTTGCCACCCTTTAGGGGCATTGGGCCGAGAAAGTATTTATTTCTTCCATGTTTTGAGAGATTCAGACTCTTTGCGAAATTTTCTCTCAAAGATTAACTCTTCTCTCGAGTTCATTGACACGAACATCGCTTACGACAAGTTCTGCGTTTGAGCTAAGGTTTTGGGATCGTCTAAAGGAATTTGTGTGTTCGTAGTCATCAGTGCAGAGGAGCAAAATTTAGCTTTGACAGCCAACTGTGCCCTCGTTGAAAACAAAAGCGCTACACGGAAGAACCATTCATTTGGCCAACTCATCCACGAATTTTATGGGTTAACAGCTCTTTGATCCGTAAGTTTATTAACTTGTATCCACTCTTATTTGTCGCGTTGTTCGCATTATGTCTCTCCTGCCTTGTAAGCTAAATAGCCAGAGAATGTTATCGCCTTGTTCAAAATTTTGTTTGTGTTCGTCTTAAATACGTAGTCGTGATGCAAAGTTTTCTCGACCGCACAAGCACGGAAAATTTGTCCACTTAAAAACAAGTATATTTTTTGAATCGCTTGACGTTTCTCAACAAAAATCTGATACTCTTTTGAGGTTTCAGGGAACCTTTTAGTGGCATTTTGGTGACAGTTTCTGACCGACGGGCATTTCGTCAGTTCGAGACCGTGCAATTTCTGAGTGTCGACAACCGAGCGATATCGTATTGTGCTCAAGCTCGGAGAGTTTGTCCACCGAAAAACCAAATTAAAATTTTGGAATCGCTTGACATTTCTTAACAAACAGCTGATATTCCTGAGAAGTTTTAAACAACATTTCGGTGGAAAATCTGTGAAAATATCTGACTACCGGGCATTTAGTCTATTTGGGACTGTGCCCAGCTGCCGGGCATTTAGTCACAGCATATTTTTTTGGCTCTTCTACCTGTGTTGCGTTACTTGTTACTTCCAGCCAGTCATTTTTCAAATTTTGCCTATATCACTCCATGAGCTTGCTCCGCGTCTTTATTGTTTGGCTTAAATACATGGCACTCCTTTTGAATTCCAACAGTTCGGGAAGTTTGAACGTGTTATCTAGAACGAAAAATGAATGAATTGATGAACGAAAAAGTTATGAGCGCCTGTGAGTTACGCTACTCGCCGAGACTTGTATAATCTCAGAAAAAGTGTGCAGAAAATAAAGCAAAATGCGACTATATGTGTTGGTATTCAGAAGAAAAGGAAAATTTCTTGTTGACGTACAGACTTATACTGTAATAAAGTCATGGTGCAATGAGATTAATAATGGTAATTGAACTGAGTGGAGTGCAATTTGGGCTGAAATCATACGCGTGATTTCAAAATCGATCGAGTGCGCAGCGCGAGTTCGATTTGAAATCACAAGTATGATTTCCGACCAAAGTTGCATGACACGAGGTTCAATTACCACTTTATTATATCCATTTTGAAATCGCCCAAATACAGGACTTAGTCATTTCAAATATTTCATTGATGCAGTACTGAGCCGATTTGAAATTAAATTCATCAAATTTTTTTTGGGGGGGTGGGGGGGGGGAAGTAAGAGTTTTGGAAACAAAAGGATCAAAATTTGCCATACGATACTCTTTGTCCATCATTTTCCTGCAATTTTATTGGTTACTTTCAAGCCTTGAAATCTGATTGGTTGTTTTGTTTTTAGTGTGGCCTGCTCATTGGCTGGGAAAAAGACGTGATTTAAAGCAAAAAATGGTGCGACTCGTGAATAAACCGCACCAATTAGAGCCAATCAGATTACAGGGACCACCAGTGATTTCAAAAT